TGTGGGGGGCTGGGTGAAGCTGTCTCACCCGGTGTGGGGGGCTGGGTGAAGCTGTCTCACCCGGTGTGGGGGGCTGGGTGAAGCTGTCTCACCCGGTGTGGGGGGCTGGGTGAAGCTGCTTCACCCTTTGTGGGGGGCTGGGTGAAGCTGTCTCACCCGGTGTGGGGGGCTGGGTGAAGCTGCTTCACCCGGTGTGGGGGGGCTGGGTGAAGCTGTCTCACCCGGTGTGGGGGGCTGGGTGAAGCTGCTTCACCCGGTGTGGGGGGCTGGGTGAAGCTGCTTCACCCGGTGTGGGGGGCTGGGTGAAGCTGCTTCACCCGGTGTGGGGGGCTGGGTGAAGCTGCTTCACCCGGTGTGGGGGGCTGGGTGAAGCTGCTTCACCCGGTGTGGGGGGCTGGGTGAAGCTGCTTCACCCGGTGTGGGGGGCTGGGTGAAGCTGCTTCACCCGGTGTGGGGGGCTGGGTGAAGCTGCTTCACCCGGTGTGGGGGGCTGGGTGAAGCTGTCTCACCCGGTGTGGGGGGCTGGGTGAAGCTGCTTCACCCGGTGTGGGTGAAGATGCGAGCCGGAACTAACCGTCCTTCGCCTGACAGAGTTAATGGTGGCACCTGATGCATGGTCGCCAAGCCTCGCAATCCTGCATGCATCGTCCCTTCACCGCTCCATACCTGTCCTTCCTGGCTCCCTCTGTAATATCTTTGTCTCTTGTTCTCTTCCCCTACACACGCACGCACGCACGCACGCACGCACGCACGCACACACACACACACACACACACACACACACACACACACACACACACACAATTACATTAGGCAGTGATGTGGTGGAGGCTGACTCCGTACACAGTTTCAAATGTAGATATGATAGAGCCCAGTAGGCTCAGGAATCTGTACACCAGTTCATTGACAGTTGAGAGGCGGGACCAAAGAGCCAGAGCTCAACCCCCGCAGACACAAATAGGTGAGTACATACACACATGGAGAAGGGAATACCAGGAATGCGTCAAGAAGCATAACAGTGGAGGCAGACTCCATACACAGTTTCAGATAAAGAAATATTACGATCCCAATAAACTCTGGAACCTATAAAGCATCGACTCAGAGGCACAACTAGGTGAGTAGAAGAGGGTAAGTGTAGCCAAACTTAGGTGGTATTTACACAAGGTAGTGAACACTTAGTGGTATTTACACTACGTTAGGTGGTACTACTAGTGTGGGACGCGTATATACCATCAGTATATATTTAGTGGATGTAAGTGAGGCCGGGATGAGGCAGGCCGGCCACAGCGACCAACACAACAGTTGTATCATAACACACTACAACCCGTGTTCACTGCTCCACAAAACACCGTGGTCGCGTACACTGAGCACCACACGTGCTGTGGCGCATACACTGAGCACACGTGCTGTGGCGCATACACTGAGCACCACATGTGCTGTGGCGCATACACTGAGCACACGCGCTGTGGCGCATACACTGAGCACCACATGTGCTGTGGCGCATACACTGAGCACACGCGCTGTGGCGCATACACTGAGCACCACATGTGCTGTGGCGCGTACACTGAGCACCTCCCGTGCTGTGCTCTGGTGTGCGAGTAAACAGTCTACCGCCTGTTCCCGTCTACCTCTGACCAACCACAGCTGAAGTAATCTTCCCCGTTCTCAGAAGTTTACTTATATAGGTTACTTTAAGTATTTAGTTTGTTTTGTGTAACACTTTCAGGGAGACCCGGATGACCATTAAGCGGACACGACCATTAAATGTCCACTTTAGTTCCTCATCACCCTACAATGTGGGCGTCTTTGACAAACATGTCATTACACTTATTGGATTAATTAAAATGGAAACCGGAAATTATCATACTAAAAAATATAATAGCAAAATCCCAATCTGTCGCAGGCCTAGTGAAACGTATCCTTAGCCTAATAGAGATACAGAACTTTGTAACCCTTCCTCCGAAGACAGTACGTTTTAATACTTAATGTAATAAGTACATTACTGACTGCATAGTACATAAATACACTTAATTGTGCTGTTACATTTACCTCCCCATATATTATCCTAATTTTCTGTTAACACTCAAATTTTTTTGGTTGAAGTTTTCATGTTCAATTCTATATAAACAAGTTTTATATATAAAGAATTTCTTTTTTAGTTTTATTAAACAATAGAGATTTTATACAAAATTTGTAAATATCCTGAGTTACTTTAGAATTTATTGAAAGACTTTAGTTTTGTTTTATTAGTTTTATAAAATTGTAATATCAATATAGCTATTGGTTAAGTACTAATTGTAATTAAGAAGCAATAAATGCTATTTACATGCTTGTCCTCCTACACTCCCAAGGTTAGGTTAGGTCGTGGTTTTCTATGCAGCTTTTCAGGTAAACTCTAATATTCAAAATATTTTGGTGCGATGCTGGCGATTAAGTGTATTTATATACTATGTCGATAGTCAGAATTGTACTTATTATATTTAGTAATAAAACGTACTGTCTTTTCGGAGGATGGACTGGTTTACCATTATTATTTGAATCCACGTTTAGTGTTGCAAGGGAAAGAACATGGAGAGTTTGTCGGCCGCCGCACCTCTGTAAACCTGACTGTATACTTAACTTTACCTAACTCTAACATAGACCCTAAAACTAACTCTAACCTAATTACACTGAAAAGTCTCCTTTAGTTCACAACACTTATGTAATCCGGTTTTGTCTTGGTAATCATATATATGCACCCTCTGTTAATAATAATAATAATAATAATAATAATAATAATAATAATAATAATAATAATAATATTACAGTAACGAGCAAGAAATTCAAGTTTAACAAAACACTCAAGAAGGAAATCTACTTCGCATAAAAAAAATTAAACGATAATTCTGGATGTAAAAAAAATGTGAACGCGATCTCAGTCTAGTGTCGTGAATGATGTGGTTTTATGATAGTTTAAATAATAAGCAGTTACCTCCATTACTGACATTATCTACACAACATTCAGGTCGCTCAAAGCTGCCGCAGCGGTGCCATCTGTTGGCCACAGTCACAACTAGTGACGGCCCCAGCAACCCGTTTTCTGTGGCACAGTATTTAAGTGGACACTACAATAAACTTACAACGAACACTGCCTGCCTTATTTTATGCATACAGTATGAACGTTATAAAACCCTGGTATTAATGAGAAATTGCTTTACAAATAATGAAATAGTTAATTCATTAGTAAAAAAAAAAACTCTGTACGAAGAATGGAGGTTATGAGAAACAAGTGAGGTAGTTCACTCTTAAGGCTGTCAGAGCGTAACTACCTCGTTAGCTACAATGTAACGAGGCTGCTTGTTGACCTCTTCATACACATAATCAAAGGTCAAAAAGAGTGAAATTAAAGATCAACCAATTATAATTACCCTTATTATTATACGTAAAATAAAAAAAAACATTAGAAATTAAATTAATGATAACTCAGACAACAGGTGCATGGGATGTTACTGTGGTGTGTGTGTCTCACCTGTGTGTGTGTGTGTCTCACCTGTGTGTGTGTGTGTGTCTCACCTGTGTGTGTGTGTGTGTCTCACCTGTGAGTGTGTGTGTCTCACCTGTGAGTGTGTGTGTCTCACCTGTGAGTGTGTGTGTCTCACCTGTGAGTGTGTGTGTCTCACCTGTGAGTGTGTGTGTCTCACCTGTGTGTGTGTGTGTCTCACCTGTGAGTGTGTGTGTCTCACCTGTGAGTGTGTGTGTCTCACCTGTGGTGTGTGTGTCTCACCTGTGGTGTGTGTGTCTCACCTGTGGTGTGTGTGTCTCACCTGTGGTGTGTGTGTCTCACATGTGGTGTGTGTGTGTCTCACCTGTGGTGTGTGTGTGTCTCACCTGTGGTGTGTGTGTGTCTCACCTGTGGTGTGTGTGTGTCTCACCTGTGGTGTGTGTGTGTCTCACCTGTGGTGTGTGTGTGTCTCACCTGTGGTGTGTGTGTGTCTCACCTGTGGTGTGTGTGTGTCTCACCTGTGGTGTGTGTGTGTCTCACCTGTGGTGTGTGTGTGTCTCACCTGTGGTGTGTGTGTGTCTCACCTGTGGTGTGTGTGTGTCTCACCTGTGGTGTGTGTGTGTCTCACCTGTGGTGTGTGTGTGTCTCACCTGTGGTGTGTGTGTGTCTCACCTGTGGTGTGTGTGTGTCTCACCTGTGGTGTGTGTGTGTCTCACCTGTGGTGTGTGTGTGTCTCACCTGTGGTGTGTGTGTGTCTCACCTGTGGTGTGTGTGTGTCTCACCTGTGGTGTGTGTGTGTCTCACCTGTGGTGTGTGTGTGTCTCACCTGTGGTGTGTGTGTGTGTCTCACCTGTGGTGTGTGTGTGTCTCACCTGTGGTGTGTGTGTGTGTCTCACCTGTGTGTGTGTGTCTCACCTGTGGTGTGTGTGTGTGTCTCACCTGTGTGTGTGTGTCTCACCTGTGTGTGTGTGTGTCTCACCTGTGTGTGTGTGTGTCTCACCTGTGTGTGTGTGTGTCTCACCTGTGTGTGTGTGTGTCTCACCTGTGTGTGTGTGTGTCTCACCTGTGTGTGTGTGTGTCTCACCTGTGTGTGTGTGTGTCTCACCTGTGTGTGTGTGTGTCTCACCTGTGTGTGTGTGTGTGTGTCTCACCTGTGGTGTGTGTGTGTGTGTCTCACCTGTGTGTGTGTCTCACCTGTGTGTCAAGGTAGCGCTAGGTGGAGAGGTGACCTATCCTTGAGGGATACAAGGACACCTCAACGATAACTCACATATAAACAATGAGAATAGGTGAGCTATCCTGGAGCAAGTGGATGACCTGGTGCCCAGGCCTGACCTGGTGCCCAGGCCTGACCTGGAGTTCAAGGGTGGCTTGGTGTTCATGGCTGACCTGATGTTCTGAGATGAGAAGTATTCTAGTGTGACCTGGAGTTAATAGTTGGGTTTGTGTTAGGTGAAGAGGGGGGCATGGTAGCGCTTGTGGTGGGTTGAGGTGGGTGGTGGTGGTAGTTGGGACTGACCTGTGTGAGAGTGTGGTGGTGGTGGGCCAGGTGGTGGTGGTCCGGGTGGTCCGGGTGGGTGTCCACCAACAGGGACGCGAAGTACTGCTCGTACTCGGAGAGGCGCTCCACCTGCAATCAGAAAAAGTTTGTCGTTATTCTCAAATCTGTCGTCATCGTCTCAACACAACGTCGTCTGCTCTCACACACATGACTCACAAACACATGCAAGTGACGTAAAGTGACTCGACAAACGATACTTATCTCATAAATGATAAGGAGGAGGAGCTCGCGGCACACACACACCCTGTATCACCTAGATTATGTACTAGGTGCTTCCTGTTAATTGCACTTATGATAAAAAATAATGTAAATAATAGATTAATTTAGGTTGGGTTCTATTTTGGCGTTCCCTCCCCTCCCCCTTGTTTTTTATGAGAGGATTGTTATGAATGTAGACAACAGAGGACACAGCAAACCTCCAATTAGATGTACATGAGATCTTTCAGTGGGCTACAGAAAATAATATGGTATTTAATGAAAATAAGTTTCAGCTCATGCGCTACGGAAAAAAACGGAAACCACGTACAAAACTCAGTCAAAACACAACATAGAAAGAAAAGGCAATGTAGAGGATTTGGGTGTACTCATGTCGGAAGTGTGCTTCCTTTAAAGAGCACAATAAAGTAGCCGTCACAACTGCAAGAAAAATGATCGGTTGGATAACAAGAACTTTTCACACTAGAGATGCTATACTGATGATGATACTTGTCAAGACGCTAGTGCTCTCTAGAGTGGAGTACTGTTGCACAATGCCAGCCCCTTTCAAAGCTGGAGAAATTGCTGACCTGGAGAGCGTGCAGAGATCCTTTACTGCTAGAATCCACTCAGTAATACATCTAAACTATTGGGACCGACTAAAGAGCCTAAATCTGTATTCTCTTGAGCACAGGCGGGAGAGATATATAATAATTTACACGTGGAAAATAGTAGAGGGGCTGGTCCCAAACCTGCACACAGAAATAACATCACATGAGACCAGAAGGCATGGCAGGATGTGCAGAATACCCCCGTTGAAGAGCAGAGGTGCAACAGGTACTCTGAGAGAGAACTATCAACATCAGAGGCCCGAGACTGTTCAACACGCTTCCACTACACATAAGGGACATAACTGGCCGACCCCTCACAGTGTTCCAGAGAGAACTTGATAAACACCTCCAAAGGATACCTGATGAACCAGACTGTGACTCATATGTTAGACGCGAGCAGCCGCATTCAACAACCTGGTTAACCAGTCCAGCAACCAAGAGGCCTGGTTGAGGACCGGGCCGCGGGGACGTTGTGCCCCGAAATCATCGCAAGGCAAGGTAACCCCCCCCCCCTCCGTATCTTCCCCTTTACATTTTCTCGCTTATAAAATTATATGTATTATCTGTTTGAAAGTTCATTTATGTACTAAACAGCTTTGTAACAACCCCTGCTCTTCAACATGGATAGGAAACTAAGGGACTCTTACAAAGCAATCTGCCCCACTGTTGTCAGACCAGTACTGGAAGATGCAGCACTCACCAAGAATTCGCACCTTGAAAAGCATAAAAGTAAAATTTAAAAAGCACAAGTTTTTTTTTTTTTTGGGGGGGGGAGGGAAGAGTAAAGAGGATGGAGAGGCATAGGTGAAGGGATGTTTAGAAATAGAAAATAGAGGAGATATGATCACAACATTCAAGATACTGAGGGGAATAGGCACAGTGGACAAGGAGAGCCTCTTTAAATTGACAGAAAATAGGACAAGAGGATCCAAGTGGAAGTAGAATGGCATGAATGAGTCGGAGATATAAGTAAATTCTGATCCCCTGTACGGGTGGTCAACAAGTGGAATGCACAAAGAAGTTGTGGAAGCCACCTCCATCCACAACTTTAAGACGACGAAGAAGAATTTGAGCGTCAAAACAGTTCAACTACAAGGCAAGAGGCACAACAAGGCCAGAAGGCGGGGCATAGTGAGCTACACCTCGCTCTCCTGGAGTTACTGATAAACACTGGACAACATACTGCCAGGAGATTACCAGCTGCGGATAAGGAAGAGGAGTGTGGGGGTGGGCACAGGGCACCTCCACCCTCTAGTGGCACCTGGCGTCATTATCACTAGTGGCACCTGGCGTCATAATCACTAGTGGCACCTGACGTCATTATCACTAGTGGCACCTGACGTCATAATCACTAGTGGCACCTGGCGTCATTATCACTAGTGGCACCTGGCGTCATTATCACTAGTGGCACCTGGCGTCATTATCACTAGTGGCACCTGACGTCATAATCACTAGTGGCACCTGACGTTATAATCACTAGTGGCACCTGACGTCATAATCACTAGTGGCACCTGGCGTCATTATCACTAGTGGCACCTGGCGTCATAATCACTAGTGGCACCTGGCGTCATTATCACTAGTGGCACCTGGCGTCATTATCACTAGTGGCACCTGGCGTCATTATCACTAGTGGCACCTGACGTCATAATCACTAGTGGCACCTGGCGTCATAATCACTAGTGGCACCTGGCTTCCGAGTGATACTCAGGTACTTGGCGACTGTTAGGCTTAAGCGTTTTAGTCTTATCTGGTTCACAACTAATCTAAAGAATGTTTGACCACCAAATGAAAATGGAGTCCATATAGTGCGACTATTAACAGTCCACACAAGATTCGGACTGGAAAAGGGCACTTTATTTTTTATTTACCGGTCCGGCGACGCTTGTCTGCTTTTCGTACCTCTCCCCTTCCCTTCCCTTCCCTTCCCTTCCCTCACTCGCACACCACATCAACATCCTGACGAAGGACCTGAGGCAAGTCTCAGCAAACCGTGGCAGAGTCGGACAAATTCCTGTGACCTTTGTCTGCTAATAAGCGTCCCGAGGCTGCGGCTGAGGCAGGGATTAAGGCCGAATTCTAATGACATTCTCAAGCATAAATAATCAGGGGGTTACCTTGCGTGGGAGCTACCGAGAAACACGTCGTGTGGGTACACAAGAGTTCGCGACCCGACTCTCGTGGTCACCAGTGTTGCGGCCTGTTGTTTGGGTGTAGGACCCGGACGAACACAAGAATCGCAGGAGAGACCGAATCCTATCGAGCTGTCGCGATTGAATTCTTCTGTAATGAATTGCTTGACACGTAACTTCAGGGGTGGTCCCAGCAGGCGGGGAGGGGTGGTCCCAGCAGGCGGGGAGGGGTGGTCCCAGCAGGCGGGGAGGGGTGGTCCCAGCAGGCGGGGAGGGGTGGTCCCAGCAGGCGGGGAGGGGTGGTCCCAGCAGGCGGGGAGGGGTGGTCCCAGCAGCTTCCCAGGCGTTCCTCTCTCACGGACCTCCTCCCGTCAGACCCATTTTTCCTCATTTTTAATCCACATGAAAAGAAAGCTATGGGAGGGAGGGAGAGATGAGGGGACGTGAACGGTAAGAGGGGAGGAGCAGAGGGGAGAGGCGGAGGGTCGTGGCGGAGAGTACCTCAAGCTGATTGGCTGTGAGACACATCACCAAAACCTTATACAGCCGTGACAAGTGGAGTGACAAGAGTGACAGCCGGGAGGAAACCTTCCCACTCTCTCCCCACACGCAAACACCACTGGCCCCACCCGTGGGACTACCAGACCCACCCGTGGGACACTTGTGGAAGCTATAGTCTACATATTATGACGTCATTTAACAACTGTATCACAGTCTGGTCAAAAGGCATAAATAATTATATATTTAATTATATAACATGAATCCAAAGCACTATGGACGTGGTTCTTACAGTGCGAGATCACGAACTTCTGATTATGAAGAATTTGCAAAATCATAATAATTAGGGGTAACGATGGCAACAATTTACAGTGTGTGTGGTATGGATTTATATACTGTATATACATTGTCCAGCTACAACTCTTATTTGTTTTCCAGATATCTGTTATGATGCCCCCCCCACCCCTACACAAGTAAACATACACCCAAGACTATACATATCTGTAGGGTGTATATACACTGCAAGTTTTGGTTCTGGACTTTGTTTCAGTATTAAAGTATTCTTGCAGGTTTGTGAGCGGTACTGTGACCTCCTTGAGTTTCACTCAATCAGCAGATATCGGAGCCAACGAGAAATGAAAATATTCTAGATCTGGTCTTTACGAACAATGAAGACATTATCAGAGACATTACGATATCAGATACCACATACTCAGATCACAATCTCATTGAAGTGCAAACGACCATCAATACTCAGAATAGACCTAAAACGTTGATAAAGCGAGAGGGGCTATTCAGTAAATTCAATTTTAATAATAAAAGGATAGACTGGGAGATAATAAACAGGGAACTTACAAACATTCCATGGGGAACTGTTCTAAATAATACAAGTCCTACAGATGGAATAGAAAAACTGACTTCAGAAGCGTATCAAGTCTGTCTGAAACATGTTCCTTTGAGGAAAGCCAGAAAGAGATCTAACGTAGAAAGAGAACGCAGACGACACTATAAACGCAGGAAAAAAATAACGGAACTGTTTATGCAGACACGAATTTCCCGTCAAAGAAGGAATAATTTAAATAGGGAGATTGAAGAAATCGAGAGGAAATTGAAACACTCATATGAAACTGAAGAAAGGCAGTTAGAACAGAAAGCAATTCAGGAAAAAAGAAAAATCCAAAATATTTCTTCTCATATGCGAAATCAAAAGCAAAAACCACTGCCAGTATTGGACCTATTCGTACAAGTGAAGGTTCATACACGGAGGATGACAAAGAAATTAGTGAAATCCTAAAAAAGCAGTATGAGGACATGTTTAGCACTCCAATAAACAACATGAAGGTGGAAGATCCAGACAATTTCTTTATGCGGGATATTCAAACCCCTGTAAATATAACTGATATAAACACGAGCGCACTAAATTTTGAAAAAAAATTGAAAACATGCCCATGCACTCGGCCCCAGGTCCAGACTCATGGAATTCAATATTTATAAAGAAATGCAAAGTGCCGGTAGCACAGGCACTCAGTATAGTGTGGAGGAAGAGCTTGGACACGGGGGAGATACCAGATGCACTTAAAGTAGCAGACATAGCCCCTCTACAAAAGGGAGGGAGCAAAGCATTGGCAAAAAATTA